GCTGAGACTTGAGCCCGGCGCACGCACAGGGACAGGGTCCCTGCTGGTGGTCGACGTTTCAGACGTCCGCGGGAAAACACAATTGCAAGCCGCGAGCTCCAGCCGTGCACGCGCGTGAGTCATGGCGTATGTGCGTACGGAGCTCCGTGGTTGACAGTTGTAACTTGTAACTTGAGGGTGCTTTGTTTCAGTCTGCTCTGCAGTCAACGTCAACTGTATACGACCTTGCGAGGGTAAAAGGTAAATCCAATGCTAGAATAGAGATATGACTCGGACGAGGACACGACTGGGAGTAAGTACAGACTGAGACTGAGGGAAATATACAATGCGCGAGAGAGAAGGAAACGGGACATCCAGATCCAATGAGACGATGTGAAAAGACGAGACGAGACGGGTAAAACAAGCGAGCTACGAGACGCGACGGATAGGTCGATAGGCAAACAGCTAGAACAACGTGAGCGGAACAGATGCGATAGCATATCGAGTATGTAGGGAGGAGGGCGGAGAAGCGTCGGAGGATGTGCTTGCGGTGAGTAAGTAAGTGTAGGTATAAGATAGAGTAGCCGAGGACCGAGAAGAGATGGAGTGGATGGAGAAACAGGTGCAGAAAACTCGGAAAACACTGGCAGGGACAGGAACAAGCAGCCGGACGGTGTGTGCAGTGCCAGTCAGGTTGAGTGACTCGGACAAATCGGCGGGGTACGTGACTGCGCGTCACCATCACGTGCATGGTCACGGACGCGCATTGGCCTGATTCGGCCACGCGTCGCGTGTCCAAAGCAATTCTATAGTGGGGCAGCTGTGGCGCGACTCCAAGCTTGTTATAAGCCCAAAGCGCACATGCCACAGCTAGGTATGGCGATATCGACGATGGGGGCAGGGGATATGGGATGGGACAGGGATAGGGCGGGATGATAGATGATACACCTAAGGAATACGAGATACATGTGACTTCCAGTACAAAGGCAGATGAATGGCAACCTGACTCACGAGATCCAAGAAATACAACAACAGTAGTGCGCAGAATACGCAACAGATATCCAATAAAAATAGAATGGGGCCCCAGCGTAGGCGGAAAACCAATGCTCAGCGCCTCCGTGTGGTCCTCGCCCTGGTCACCCCAGACGTCCTCTTGCGCTTCTTGGGGGCAGGGGCGGACACGGTCTTCTCGTCGGGGGCAGCGTCGTCATCAGCGGCTGCGCGTTTGCGAGACTGGCTCTTTGCCTTCGGTGCCTCTGGCTCGTCCACCTGCATGGCCTCTGCGTCTGGCGCAGGAGCTTCTGGTTCCACGGTGGCCCTCTTCGCGGCAGCCCTCGTACGCGCGCGAGTGGCGTGCACAGAGTCTGCCTGTGGTTCTGTACTGTCCTCCACCGCGTCCGCATACTCCGGAACATCATTCGGTTCGCCTTTGCTTTTTACGTCAACAGCTTGCGCGGCCTCGGGTGGCGTAGCAGGAGTAGACGATGCGGATGACGATGAGCGACCCCGTTTCAGGTCGGCCGCCATGGAAGACGTCGCCGTAGACGATTCCGACGTTGAAGGGGAGCGATCATGTGTGGTCGGGCGAGCGGATAGGCGCGTGGGCGCTGACGGGGCGATAGATCCCCGCTTGCTGCCTTTGTTGCTGGTGCGTCCACGGGATGCGGGAGCTGCGGGGCCGTCTTCGTCTGGAAGAGAGGCACTGGCGATGATGGGAGAGAAGACTCCGAGTGGGCTGGGGGCTTTGGGCGATGTCTTTGTGGGTGGCGCGAGAGTGGCACCAGCGGTAGGTTTCGCGGGAGTCGCCTCTTCGTTCGCCGCTCCAGTGTTGGCCGCTGCTGCGGCTGCAGCCATGGCGGCTGCTGCCTTGGGAGTCGGCTTGGTCTTGCGGGCTCGCTTCCTCGGTGGCTCTGGCAGGCCCTCGACGACCTCGTCGGTCTGCGCCCGAGGCGCAGCAGTCTTGGTGGCCTTTCGCTTTCTGAGCGACATCTTCCTGTTATTAGGAGAGGCTGTGATCCCGAGCTCTTCATTGCGAGCCTTCTCTTGTGCGGCGTTGAAGTTTCTGGATTGCCACAGCATCTCCTGTGGGCCGAGCCAGGTGCAGGGATAGGTGTCGATCAGACGAGGCTCTGTTCCTGAAAGTAGGCGTTCCTATGTGAGATCCTGGACCGCAATGGCATTGCATACGAGTACTCACTCATGACCTTGTCGATGAACTCTGCCGTGTCGTTCCTGACCTCCGGGTTCCAGAAGTCATTGTGGTGCTCGTGGAAGGGAGTGAGCCTGACGCTGAGAGCGGCGAGGGCGTAGATGGAGGAGGCGGCTCTGTTCCTGAGGCTGGGGCGGGGCGGGCGAGTGGTCAGGCAGGTCTGGACGGCGGGGTGGCGGACGTTCCAGCGGCCGTCGCTCATAACGCCGCCCGTCACCTCGTGGGGGGCGCTGCGGGGGATGTTGAGCGCGGCAATGCGCTCGCGGTTCTGCTCTGCGATGCTGACGTGTGCGAGCACGCCGAGCGGGTCGTAGCGTGGCGTCGCTGTCGCCGTCGTCGGTGTGTGTGGCGGGGTGCCCAGCGTAGAGCGCTCCGACGATGTCGCAAAGCGGGCACCAGGGCACCCATCGCTGACGTCGAAGGCATAGGCGGGGGAGTCTACAGGAGGTGTCGCGAAGCGATGGGGGTTGTAGAGGTGGTAGGCCATTGCGGTTGGGCACTGGCGGGGATGTTGTGGCGTCTGCGCAGAAGGGGGCGGGCACAATGGGAGAGGGTAGAGTGTGGGGCTACAGAGTGCTACGATTGAGATATAGCAAGATGGTGGGAGGCCTGGGGATAGATATGAAGGGGAGCAAGGACGAGGGATGGTGGTGGTAGATGGACAAGCGAGCGGGCTGGCGGGAAGAGCGGCTTGCCCTTTGGCCTAAGCACTGCATGAGGCTGGCTGCCCTCCTTGTCCGCTTCATGTCCCGTGGGAAACCTGGAATCGGGCCCGCGCACCTCCCTTGTTCTTCGCTTCCCGCGCCCTGCTGACCTTGTTCTTTTATTTCGGTCGCCACCCCGCAGTCGCTTCGCTACGCCCTCTATTATTTCGCGCTGCAGAGGATAGCGACGAGGAGACGACGAGGACAATTGGTGGGGTGAGCATGACTTGCCTCCGAGATCTCTCTGGCGCTCCGCTGCTCTCGCCGATCTCCCGGATCCTCATCCCGATCTCGCTGATATGCCTCCGACACCCCGCATCCCCCCAGTTCTTCATACACTCGTCCTTTCCTCGTCCTCAGACGCACGGTCGACGACTGCAACGACTTTCCTCTGCTCAACCCATTTCAATTGTGCCAAATCCGCACCCATCACGCGCGCCGCCGCAGCCTTCCAGTGGAAGACACGGACCACGATCCGTGCGGATATGGCAGGTGCGCTGCAACGTGGCCCGTTATCAGCACCCTCCAAAATCGCATTTGCACTGATAATCTGCCCATCGCGCGAGCTCCGGGCAGCCCGCTCGCCGTTGCTGCCTGTTGCTAGCACTTTCGCCGATGCAGCACGATGCCATCGGCCACTGCTCGGCGCTGCTGCACGCGGCGCTCGCGCCCGGTCGCCCGAACACGGTCGCCTCGGTGCCTGTGCGCGGATTGCTCCCGATTGCGTTTCGTGGCCATCGCCTGCGGATGCCCCTCTTATAACCTTAACGATCCCCTCCCCGCGAACGTTCGTACACCGCTCCACCTTACGTCGCGCGAAGCACGCATTTGCACGAGGATTCGCCGCGGCGGCATGGAGGCTGGCGCTCTGCCAGCGGCGCGCGCGAGGGCGAGAGGCAGATCGGGACGGCACAAATGAACGACATGAATGTATTGCTGCTCGAACGTGGCCACGACACGAGCCGAGCTGTACATACGCGCAGATTGCACATGCTCGTGGGGTCCTGCTCCTACGGGCCTGTCGTGCGGCTTGATGTCATGCCCATGGCCGTCATCTGCGCGACCGTCTCGTTCCATTGCCGCATGTCCAAATCCGGAGAGTTGAGGACCAGGATCGCCTGTACGAGCATGTTCGGGATCAGTTTGGGTGGTGGATGGTGCGGTAAGGCGTCTGGCATGGTAAACGGTATCTGTGTCGCACTGTCAGGCAAAGGCGATGCAACCGTGAACAGAGTAACAGACGTACATCGAGCCGTTCGAGGTACCCGAAAACAGTCACAACACTCCGCGCATCCACGAGCCAAGGCAAGCCGCCTCTCGCATGGAGGCAAAGCGCGACGTCGACTGGAATAGCGTGGCTCTCATCGCCAAGGACCGCGATCCCGGTGGTGGGTTCGTAGCAAAGCACCCTACCAGGCATAGACAGAAGGGTCAATGCAAGACGAAACAGGGCGGTAGATGGCCGGGGCGCGTACCTGCCGACAAGACGCAGCTTCCGTCCGATTAGATCATCACAAAGGGATGAAAGGACCACGGGTGTTGCGGAGTCTGCGCGTGCAGACATTTCGACGAGTGCAAGCTACGCAGCTCATGCGTGAGGACGCATGGGATGTGAGGGTGCGTACTGAGATGCAACAGACGATGAATGCAAATGGTCTTCGGCATGCGTTGCACGACGGCGAACCAAAATGAGTATCGATTTGTCACTAGGCGCTATAGCCAAGTAATTATGATGACGGAATCCGCGCAGACTTTACAGCAGGTTCAAATCCTGCTCATGTCGCGATACCCTTTGTTTACATTACGCATTTTTGTTGCGGACTGATATTTTCCATTCATAAACTTTGGTTTCAAAAAAATATGGACACTGGGAGGATTGAACTCCCGGCCTCGCGCAGATCCACGATTTGCGAAGCGCGCGCTCTACCACTGAGCTAAGTGCCCTTGTTTGACAATTAATTATTATGTAACCACATCCAAATTGATCCAATGAGTCTGGTAAAACAAGCTGCCGTCAGACAAAAGCAATCAAAGACACCAATGAGCATAGACATTGAATCTGCTTGAGACCAGCAGCAAAACAAAAACATATGCTTCACGCGCGCTCTCGATGCCAGCAGGATTTGAACCTGCGCTCCCATAGGGAAACAGATTTCTAATCTGTCGCCGTAACCACTTGGCTATGGCACCTTGAAATTATTCCGGAAATGTGGTATCACAGGCCGACATACACTAGGCATCAGGAAATTTATTTTGCTATGAGCAGGAATGAGCAGCTCATACTGAGCCCTTGTCAATCACACATGACCTGCCTTTCCCGGTAGTTCAGCACTTTCTTGTCCAATGGGAGGCCATCTTTCGGGCGAAAAGGCCGCCCACCGCATTTGCAATTAGGCTGCTTTACAGATGCTATGGGCATAGTTCCATTATGCCATATACAGTATCTGATAAAAATAGTTTGAAATTATTGAGATATAATTGAGAGGTTTGGAAATTTCAGACCATATCTGCTGGTATTACAGTGTGTTGCATAAGAAACTGCAGTCGACACGTCAAGATTGTTGTTTGTTCCAGCCAAAGCGTGACAACTTCGATGTCTGACAGCCCAGTGGGCAACCCCTCTTGCCCAAAACCTCGAGTAGGTGACAGCTCAGTGCAGCAGACAAATGCTACTAAGAATGGCGGTGAGCTCTCTAACTGCAATATCCGAATAATTGCACGGCTACAGACAGTTTTCCGACCACAGTGTGCGTGCAGTACTCGTGTGTGTCAGTGGTCGAGTTCGTGCTCTAAAGTCAAATCGACGATGTATTGACTACGCGACTCCATTTTCTATGATGGTGCCAAGCAGGCTATGATTTCTGTGAGTCTCCGATGGACCCATTTATGTCTTATTATGGCACATGTGGTTTACTTTGTCATGGCTCTCGCGCAATGTCTGTGTCGTTGACAGAAATGCATGAGTGCACAAGGATCCGAAGGAGCACGGCATGGACAAATTCATCCAGCGATGGCACCACGCGATGCAAGATGTCCTCGGAAGGCGCCCTGAAGCTCAGCTGGGGATACAGCGCTTTCGTGCTCACTTGCACCCGCACCTTCGCTGGAGCTCCATTGCTGATTGCCCGCTCTTGACACATGCTCCCGCCAATGGCCTCATGTTGCTGAAAACTTGCATGAATGTACATCCCTCTCAATATACTGATACACTCAAAGAAGTGTATCCGATGCTGCGCTTGGTGTTCGGGTCATGCTCAAACACAGAGTCACGGTAGTGACCAATTGCTCAGGTAGTTTGCAAATAGTACAATGACCACGAGGAGCTATACAGCCCTCGGAGTAGTCCTCACATATCATTTACTCGAGAACTACGCCACTTTGCCAATCAGACTGGCACTGAGAGAAATTTGAAGCTTAGGACTGTTGCGGCTGCGGCCTTGCGGCCCGGACGTGACCATACGTGACTATTTGGCTACAACAAATACGAATCTCGACGCGTCGACTGCAGTTTCTTATGCAACGCACTGTATGTGAACATTGCCCATAGTGATACCCACAACAACATCCCAAAAGGCCCTCTATAATCATTAATGTAATGTACTCGTACACCACATTGATACACAGAATGATAAAGTTACATCTACTTGCAATTAAATATCGAAATTCCTGACAACAACGCCCCCAACACCAGCACTAATGATTCTTCGCTCGTCAAAGACCACCGTAGCCTTCGCCGCGAGCGCACGCCGCTCCTCCATCGCGCTGCCCTCCTCCTCTTCGCGAGCAGGTGCTACCTGCGCGCCCGTGCCCGCCTCCAGGTCCCACACCCAGATGCTCCCATCGCGCCCGACGCTGACGCACCGCCCGTCCGCGAGCGCGAGCGCGGCCGTCGGCCCCGTGTGTCCGTGCAGATTGCGGACAAAGGTAAGCTTGGGCGTCGCGGTCGAGTTTGCGGTCGCGGAGGGGAACGAGATGCGGTATAGCTGCAGCGGCATGTCGGTGTAGGGAGACGAGGCCCCGGAGCTGGATGTTGATGGGGTGTGCGGTGCGACGGAGTCGGAAGGGGCGAGGATGACCCACCGGCCGTCTGTCTGTGTGCCGGCAACCTCGAACACTTTGCGTCCCCATTGCTCGTGCAAAGCGGCAAGCTTTGCGGCGTCCAGCCAGCCAGGGGGGAGATCAAAGGCTCGACTGCTTCGCGTGGATACGAGTCGGATGGCGGAGGTGGCGCTGGCGTCACTTGAGGTAGAAGATAGAGACGATGAAGCGCTGTTCAGAATGACTTCTGTCACACCGACACTCCAATGTTCGGGGTACACGGGGCTTGCATAGGTGAGCACGAGTCTATGTGTCGAGGGCTCGGGAGTCGACAGCACCATCGACGCAGGCGGGAAGCAGGTGAATGATGTCAGGCAGTGTACGAGCTTCATGGACTCGGAAGAGGCGTCGTATATCGACAGATGGAACTTCTCGGACAGAGTCGCGAGAACCGGGTGGTGATACGCGACCTGGAGTATAGGTGTCGTCCGAGGGGTCCGGGCTGGAGGGATATAGTAGTGCTTGCGCGACGATGTCTGCAGATGCACTCCGTGCTGCTCGAACACCTGCAATTCTCCGTTGGAAAGGCACACGGCAATACGCGTGAACGACGTCGAAGGAGGAGACTGGTCTACTGCAAGTGCAGTGATCTGTACGGGCCGCTGCACCCTCATGCATTTCGCGTGGATGGTTGTCGTGTGGGACGTAGGAGTGATAAAGGTGATGGCAGGAGAGACGGATGGTTGAGAAGACGCGACGATCGTAAAGTGCCCGGTGAGGAGCATGTGCGTCTTTCCAGCAAGTTGTTGCTCGCTCCCGTTTAAGCTTTGGGTATCGAGGCTATCATTCTGTGCAAAGGCTTGCATCTCATCCTCGACTTTGGAGATGTCACATCGACCTGGGCGACCGTCAGCCCGGGCTTGCGAACAGGATCCATGCAACTCACCCGTTCTCCAGTTGGTGCTGATCCGAAACATCGCCTTCCAGTTCTTCAGTTCGTCTGCATGCGCACGACCAGGGAGAGGTTTAATCTCCCTCCCGTCGGCCCGCCCAATGAAGCCCCGCCCGCCTCTCAACCTAGACCGGCCATATTCTGTCAAGTACAAGCTCTTCCACAGCTACGGGGCTCGAATGTTCAACACCTCGGTGCGGCGACGGCTCGGAGGGAGATATGTACCTGGTTGTCGGCCGACAGACGGGACCAGTTCCGGTTCGTCGCTTGGACAGCACAGAGGTCTGCCCACGGCAGATACGAGAATATGTGCAGGATCAGCTCGTCGTACAGCAGCGTGTCAAAGGTCCCGCGCGGCATGGATTCGTGGGCGCCATCGTCCGAAGATGTGTGCACCCTCTTCGATGGCGGCAGGGTCGCCGGTGACAGCGGTCGCTTCGACATCCGGATTGTAGTTTGCTTCAGAGAGGAGGCTTCGGCATTGGAGAATGGGTCAGTCAGCAGCTCGCAAGATGCAGATCGGCATTTTCCGATCTGCTACCCCGGCCGGCGCTTAGCGTACCGTGCTCCGCTGCAAGTCCGGCCATGGCACCCTCTCGAGGTCCGCAACCACTCGCTCGCGAATTACACACGACTCTCTCGGCGCACAAAGGGCCCGTACATGTCGCCAGGTACGCCAAAGGAGGTGGGAAACACGTCTTGACGGGCGGCCAGGACCGTACCATTCGTCTCTGGAATCCGAATTTGGGCACCGAGATTAAAGCCTACTCTGCCCATGGTTATGAAGTGCTGTCAATATCAGTGTAAGTCCGTAACAATCTACTTCGTCGCTTTTTTAAAATATATGGTACTCTAGTGCTCATGATAACTCGAAGTTCGTGTCTTCGGGGGGCGACCGCAGCGTCTTCTTGTGGGATGTAACGTCTGGCAACACAATTCGCAGGATATCGGCCCACATGGCCAAAATTAACGCGGTAGAATTCAATGCTGAGGCTACCGTTGTCGCCAGTGGTACGTGAGTTCTTCCACCAGAAGGGACAAGTGACGTGAACGCTCGCACAGGCTCGTACGATTCCACCGTCAGACTGTGGGATCTCCGGTGCGTTCCCCGAACTCATCGTCCATCAGTCTCACTCTAAGTTGTACCTCGTTAGCTCGCAGAACCGACAGGCTATTCAATCCCTCGAAGAAGCACGCGATTCTGTCCAGGCGCTCTATGTTGGGACAACTATCATCATGACAGGTTCCGTGGATGGCCATGTCCGGACATACGACCTTCGCAAGGGCGAGCTTCGCGCAGATTACATCGGTCGTAAGTACAGACGTCTTTGTATAGATTTTCTGCCGACATTGCTTCTTGACAGATCCGGTCACGTCGGTCGTACCCACGCAGGACGAATCGACATACCTCGTCATGACGCTCGATGGCCATATTCGTCTCATGGACATGGCGAGCGGAAAGCTATTGAACGACTTTTCTGGCCATACGCACAAGTCCTACCGTTGTCGAGCGTGCTTCGGCTACGGAGAAGCTACAGTTGTAGCCGGGGATGAAAATGGGACGGTTTGGGCGTGGGATCTCCTCGATGTAAGTCTTCTAGCTTGCAGGGGACACGTTAATGCTAACGGCTGCGGTATCGGTTCAGGCCACCCCACTACAGCCAAATCCGCCACCAAAAGTGCACCATAAAGTGATCACATGGACAGAACACCATCCCACTGAGGCTGGCGAGCTGCTTACTGCCAGTGCAGACGGCACTGCGAAGGTCTGGCGTTTCCCAAGTGCAGGACGTTGACACTGCGATGCGTTTGTAATATATGTAGAATATGCAGTATCTCGACCAACAAGATGCAATAGTAGCGTAGTGATACAATCATTCCCTCCGCAGAGGATGAACGGAAGAGTGAGAAGACGATTAGAGGGAAGGATATCATCGTTTCGCCTGGTTGAGGGATTCTGAATTGTAATGTTAGCTATGGCTAGGGAGCACGGAAAGAGGGAACTCACCTCGTCGTGTCGCGTCCTCCAACAGTTGCGTATCTACGTGCTCGGCAGGCAGCTGCACGTAACGAACAACAGATCCACGGATGAAGCAGTTCTTCACAGCCATCTGGATACATGGACTGTTAGCTAAAGTCCTTATACCAAGTGCGAAGACTCACCATGTGCGGATGCCTCCATTGGTCCATCACTTCGATA